TTTTTTTTTTCAATTTTATGAAAGCAGCAAGATTTTTGAGCATGCTTCTCCTCTTACTGCAGTCAAAAAGCTCGACCTTCCATTGACGTGAGGCAGCCTGAAGTGATCATTTAAAGGCGAGGCTTTTAAGCAGACATAAAACATTAGTACAGGCGTAAATACGTGAGTTTTGCGCATCATGAAATGTGCAGATGCAGCAAAATGCAGCCATTTGAAGCGTAGCAGCGCTGCTATTTCCCTCATACTTTTTGTTTAAAATATCCCCAGAAACTGACGATTGTAACATTAAGAAGAAAGATTTTGAGCATGCTGCTTGCCCAAGTGCAGCTTGAGGTATCAATGATGTGAGGCAACCTAAAGTAGACATACTTCTTAGTCCTCCTCTTTCTACGTCTCAACCGCACTTCAAAGCAAAGTCTGCTAACTTAGCTATCTTCCTTTAGCAGTCCAAGAATTTTGAAAAAATGTCGATGCGCAGCATAAGCTCTGGCATTCTTCATCAAAAAAGTGAGCAAGCAAAATAAAATTAGCATTGTACTCAAAGTGCATACTGGTAGCTTATGAACGAAGATTCAGTTGTGGCTGTTGAACATTTTAATACATAGCTCGTGGAAAACCGCAGATTTATAAAAGCTGTAATTCCAGACCTGCTACATAGTTCTGGCTGACCTAGCGCTGTGGCAATTAGAACCGCTGCCACGCAGAAGTCGGATGTTCGGCTGCTCTGATGGAACAGTAGATCCCTCTATGAATCGTTCATTCATTTCGATGATAAATTAGCAGTTGTTATTTGCGAGTGGCTGAAATCTTTCATTAAGCTAATTCTCAATAGCCTATGAAAGAGGGAATCGCCGACAGCTTTGCTAGGGTGTGTTACTTGTTGCTACTTGTCACTGGGCTATTTCCGAAGTGCTTTCACTTGTCATCGAGAACTACTATAAAGATTTTGACATTGCACTAAACAAGAATCCTGAATTAAGCCACCTAACTTTTAGCCCCGGATTTTTTAGTCTATGAAAAAAATTTGTATTTTTTGTCACTCCAGAACAAATGACCTCACAAATAAATGACTGTACAAATTCATCGTTATTTGTCGGGCTTGATATGATCTGGAAAAGTGAATCTGGAGGTGTCTGTGCATCATGAGGTCTAGATATTATTGATTCGACTAAGCCGTAGTTTCTGTTCCACAACACTTCATAACAACTTTTTACATTCAGTAGCTCAGTTCAAACCAGTGAAAGGGCAGAATGTAAAGCACAAAGTGAGTGAGAGTGCCACCTACGCTCAGTCCTTTCATTTGTCATTTATGGTAAATATCCAGAAACCTTTACTTTTAAACGCAATCTTCTGCAAGCAGTGATTAGCTGACCGAAGTATGTGTGCATATGCATATGTATAAAGGTATATTTCGTAAATATGTCTGTGTGTGTGTGTGTGTGTGTGTGTGTGTGTGTGTGTGTGTACGTCCGAACAGCTAACTGATGAAAGCTGATATCCTGGGAACTTAGCCCATTTCCATTTGCAGGACGTAAGGCACAATAAAAATGCAATTGCTGATCACTAAGTAAATATTAGTAGAAGTTGACTAAGATTTGGTATCGTGCTTAAAATTCATAACAAATGCAAGCGATGCTGCTAATTTGAAATCTGCTTGTTCATTTCATCTTGAAAAGTGAAATTAGCTGGTTCTCGGTTTGTAATTTGATGGCCGCTTTCAAGCTAAACTGACCTATGATAAAACTCTAAAGTTTAGGTAAATGCCACTTTGATGGTATATTGTACATCGCTTTTACACAATTTTAATTGCCACACAACCGTCAAGACCAGGCATTCCTATGTATCTGCTTTCTTACTAGATCAGGCAGCACGCCTATAAATGCTTCAGCCTTTGAGCCAACTCTTTTTTTGCTTCTGATGCGGCCGAAAAATCGCGGTCGCTTTCTTGAAACTTATACAACCCGGACCAAAATCTTCGATTCCACCTTCCTTTCACAATTCCCAACATTTTTCATTTCATCTGCTCACGTTTGCGACAAATTTGCTTTTTGAGCGAAAAATTATGCAAAATGCCTTAGATTGGCAATGAATTTTAAGCATGGTTACCCATGTCAATTCTCTCTGCAACTATGCTCTCAGAAATCAATGGCACCTTTATCTGGAAAGTTTTCCGAACCGAAATATTTGCATTGCAGAGATTGCCCAGGCCGGACAAATCAGCAAGTGCGGAAAAGCCTAAAGCACTCTGAGGCTTACAAGTCCATAATAATGCAGAAGGCATGATTTACGACAATATACTGCCCTGGCTAGAGTATGCTTGCTCCAGCCACAGGCCCATAAAGCTGAGCCATTAATGGACGAGAAAAATAGGAAGCCGGAAGTGAAAGAAGAGGAGGACCGTCGCAGCTCCATTCTAACTATGCATATAGTTAACAAATTGCCTTCTACTCACTTTTAGCGCACAACTGCGTACACCTTTGTTTGGCTTCAAACAGAGCCCCAGTCCAGCCCCAAGTGCGGAAAGTGCAAAAAATTTGATGCTGCCATTTATTGGATCCATCGCTAGTAGTTGGTGTGCTGCTCTGCTGCGGCGCCATCAAACCATTCAGGAAGATCTGGATGGTGGAATTCTAGCAATAGTCGGTCTACAAATGCCTGGACGGGGAAGAAGCGTCGTTCCGAAAGTGCTAGGAGGTGTGTCAAACAAGGACGAAGTGGCTTCTCAAGTATCGAATGTCGCTGAAGTAGCAGGCTTCTCTGTTGGCGACAGTACGGCTAACATGAATCGAATGATGCCTACCGAAGATGTGCCTCAGTTTCGAGAAATATTATCACGAAGTACGGATTCACTGTATCCGCCTGACAGTGATCAATTTGTGTCAAATATACGTCGAGATTCTTGTGCTTCCAACGTACCCATGCATCGACGTCGATCTTCGATGCGTTCTCGTTCAACGATAGAAGAAATTAGCGCCGAGTTGTCCCGACGACCTTCCCAGTATCACAGACCGGCTTATGTAACTCCACGCATCGATCTCGTTTCAGGTCGGAGCATTGACTTTTCCCAATAAAAAATAATTTAGACAGAAACTATTTTTCATTTTACACGCAAAGCAGATGATCAGACTGAAAAAAGGGAAAAAGAAAACTGACATACTCATTAACGCTCAAGAGTAAACGTAAACTTGGCTCAAATCAGCAAACGTAATAATTTTTCACACTAATTTCCGGATATCTTTTAACTGTACTTTTCCTCCTTTTCGTTTTTTTTTTTTTTTTTTTTTTTTGG